GAGGCTCCAGTTGTTACTACAGGATTCCTGTGGAGTGGATTCAAGGCTCAATTCGGGGGGTGGGGTGTGGGGTGTAGGGGTTACTGGCACTGTGTTGCTACTTCCTGATGGAGTTGGTGACAGACAGTGCCCAGCATGGGGTGTTCAGTGTAGCTGCGAGGACATGAAATGTGGCAGTAGCTGGAAACTTGATTAAACTATATAGGAGTAGTTCAACTAAGTACAATATATGCCATCCTTGTCCCTTTGCAATTCACCATTAGCTTGTCCGGAGCAGGCTTTAGACCTCTCCTGACAGTTGTAAATTGAATGTGACTTGAAACGCTAAGTGGATGTTCTGGAGCTACGGGGTTTATTAGCGTGTAAGTAACAGTTTCGCAGACTAGTGTCAGTGATGCAGTATATAATAAAATGGACATGTCTGATTATGCCCTCTCTGACTTTAGGCCATCAAGGTCTCAGTGTCCTCAGCACAGGTGATTGGAGTAGTTTTCAGCTTATGGGATCAGTAGCGAACCTGTGGACTTCCTGAGGATGGGCAAAATAGCCAGTCGTGGAGCTGCTGTGAGATCCATGACTGATAATCTCTCAGTACAGGGCTGCTTTCAAGGACAGAGGAGTTGTTTGCCAAACGTTGTGCAGGCTGCACCTGGATTGCATCATCACATGAGGCTGAATATTAAGTGCTACTGGTTGAAATAATGATAAGTGGGGAAATCAGTGGAGTACCTGTTTACGCACTGCCAATTTCAGTGCTGAAGAGTTGATGTGTCTATTTTTCTTCTTCAGAGTCATTTTGTTGTAATGCCTACGTGCCTTCTTCCAGGGAAGAGTTCTAATGTTATTCAAGTGTTTTATGTGCACTTGCTTACTTGATTCCAAATTGCTTTGGGCCTTGGTATCTCCTTTTTAATACTTGTGTGGCTTTCCCCTTGAATCAGTATTGGCTTTTGAACACTCAACTTGGATGAATCCCAGCATCCCTGGATGGAAGGCGTGTGTTTGGATTGAAGGCAAGCCACGGAAATAAGATTTCTCTTTGGAAAATTAAGAAAGCTTTTTGAACTCTTGCTGGGTGGAAAACTGAAAGTGCCATGAAGATGGTCTGTATGGCCACGGTATTCTCAAGGGAGAAAGGAAGATTTGAGCCTTGATGGTCGAACAGTTTTACAAATCTTCCTTTTAAAATACTGGGCCTGAAAGCACCTAAATTAATCTCTAGCATGTGCTCAGAGGTCTGCCTTTTAAAAGGCTGTATCATTCTCTCTGCCATGTCGTGTTCAGCCCCAGCAGAAAAGTTGTACAGTTTCTAATGAGAGCTTTGTGCTGTTACCGCCGTGGGGTTAAAGCTTCTTGTCTGCCTTCTGCAGGGAAGTCACAACGGGTGTCCTTGCCCAGCGAGTGCCTTTGGGGTTACTGCGACGCCACTGTCCGTGTTCTGGAAGATGCCAGAGGAAGCACCTTCTTTGTCTAAATGAGTCGTTAACATTTTGTTCCAGAGTATCTTCTATCTCAGGAATACCTCCCTAACTGAGGAGGGAAATGAATAACTTTTTTTTTTGTCACTTTCTTTGATGTTGCCACAAAAGTTTTATGGTAGTATGGAAAGGCGGGAGAAACTGCAATGTTGCTTCTCAGAATGCTTCCTCTAATGTAGTTCTACATTGCTATTCATAGCAGTTCAGTTTTGTCTCACAGATCTTATGTAAAATATCTTTCTCGTAAGTGTTTCCAATCTTGCCATCCCAACTCGCCATTATACCAAATGTCAGCCTATCGTGGAAAGAGGGCCCCTTATAATACTGATTTTTGCAGAGGCCTAAAGGTAGGTAAGTTGTTGTTGGGATCATCTAGCAAGTACACGGCAATAGTATGAAAAACAGAACTTGGCTCCCAAGATTTTTACTGTAGTGCTTTGGCTATACGATCATTCTTCCCTTTTTGCAGTGAAGGTCAAGAGAAATGAAGTTCTTCATTTCCTCATACCTCTTGCAGCTGAGCCTTGTTCTGCTTCAGCCAGTAGGATTTATTTCTTCATTTTAATAAGGCACTGCTGGAGAGAAGGTTCCCTGTTTCACTTAACCCTTAACAGAAAGCATCTTTCTGCGTGGATCGTACTCACCCCCTGTGCAAAACTTAAATTTGTCTTGTTTCCTTCTCACCTGGTAACCTGCTGAGTTGGCAGAGCCTTTGCTGTTCTTAGGAGTCTTGCTGCTCTGTGGGCTAATCACTGGGGAGACAGATTGTACTGTCCAAGACCACGATGAATTCTTTAAGGTTGCCATAAAGCGTTGCTTCAGCCTCACCCAGCAGATAGAGCTATTCCAGAGCGCTGTTAGTAGAAGAGCCGATCAGTGTGTCTTTAAGTGAGTGGTGCCAATGGGAATGGCATGTTAGGCAGGGCAGCTGCAAGCTCGGCCTGAAACATGACCACCCTTGAAACCCTATCTCTACTCCACTGACCCATGCAGGCTGACTTCATGCTGTTGACTGACCGTGCGGGTTGTGTCAATGCCTGAAATGTGACTGCTTCCTGGCAGCGGGGCAGATCCTGCCTGTATGACTGGTAACGTGTTACTCGAAGCAGGGGAGAAGTTGCATTTACGCATCTTTTCTGTAGCTGACCACGGAGGACTGAACTTGGCTAGTGTCTCTCATGCTGATGTCCCAGGTTACCCGAGTGGAAAGTGTTTGCTTTCCTCTTTGTGCTAAATGAAGGTCTGGGAGGTGTTTCATATAGCTATAAAAAAAATGAAAATGTAAGATCACGTTTCCCAAGGATGCTTACCAACAAAACCTGTTATCTGTGGGGTGGGATAATCCTCCCTCAAATAGGATTTCCCTGCAAAACACGCTTCCATGTGTTACACTCCCAAATCTTTATGGAGGATAGTCTCCACAACAGATGAAGCTGCGTCCCAACGGTTTATTTACTTTAGCTTTATCCCTTGCAGTCACTGCACCCATGCAGAGCTTTACCTGGTGCCCCTTGATCTAAAATGCCTCATGAGATGGAGCTGCCTGGCATGAGGGGAGGCTGTGCGGCAGCACCGGGAAAACATTTCCCAAGAACCAACCTCTTCTTTTGCTAAGTCCCTGCCATCGCTATGAGCCACAGCGGGAGAAAGGGGTGACCTTTTTCCTTTTTTGTGCTGGGTGAAAGTCACTGTGTTGCAGGAGCGCAGAGGGGTGCGGAGGCCCGCGTGTGGCTGGAGCTTGCTGCGATAAGCTGGTTGTTTTCCCCTCTCTTTCCCCTTCACGGCGCTGTGCTGGGCTTATCTGGGTGCCTGAGTTATGTTAAGTAGCGAGTGCGTGCCTGCGCTCTGTTCTCCTCACTGCTTTTGCTCCTTGGATTTCAATTCCAAACATGGTTATCCATTTGGGGTCTCTCTCCTTTCCGCTGCCAAGTGATACACATTCCACATTCAACACCAGCTCCCTCCGCTGTTCTCTGGCAGTCGCTATTTCCAGTGCTGGAGGACTGGTGAGAGAGGCAGTGCAAGGAGATCTCGGTCCCGTCTGTGAGTTTTCCAGCTAATGGCCTCTACTCTTTCTTTGACTGAATTCTTTTGGCCTCATATTTGCCAGCTCCCTTTCTTGCTGCTGCGGCTAAGGAGGCAGCCAGCCACCAGTTTGTGAGCCGCGAAGAGGAGAAACGAACCCTTTGGAGATTTTTTCAGGCACAAAAGTGTTTGGTGGCGCTTTAACATGTTGCTCTGAAGCGCACTGCTGTGGGACTGACCCGGCGCTCAAGAGGAGGAACAACCACCCAGCAGCTCTGGTTTCAGACCTCTGCGGCACCCTTTGTTTATGACAATTCATTCTGAGCACAGGACGGCCGGGGAGGGTGGGGAGTGGGGAAGGATGAGCGCAAACAGCCTTTCGTGGGACCAGGCTATTCTCCAGGCCCCGGTGTGCGATGCCTGGAAGGAGATCATGGAGGGAGCAGCCTACCACCTGGCCAGCTGCATCGTCCTCCTGGGTTACATGGGGGGAAGTGGCATCTTCGGGTCCCTCTATATCTTTGGCTTCCTGGCCCCAGGCTACTTCTGCTATGCTCTGTGGGGCTGGCTGAGTGCCTGTGGGCTTGATATCTTCGTCTGGAACATGCTGCTCGTCCTCATCTGCTTGCTTCAGCTGGCTCACCTGGCATACCGGCTGCGCAGAGACACCATCCCAGAAGAGTTTGACCTCCTCTACAAGACCATGTACCTGCCCTTGCAGGTGCCCCTGGAAGTCTACAAAGAAATCGTGAAGTGCTGTGAAGAGCAAGTCCAGTCACTAGTCAGAGACCAGAATTACGCGGTGGAGGGCAAGACGCCCATCGACCGTCTCTCTTTGCTGCTGTCTGGCAGGTAAAGCGTCTCCTGTTTCTGAACAAAGTGTGACAGCAAAGCACTTTGGCTTGTTGTTGTGTTTTCACCCTCTGTGGAAACTGGGGTGAGGATTGTTTCCTTCCTCTGAAAGGGCTTTGAAATATGCATGTTTGTTGGGGAGGGGGGTAATTTGTTTTGGGGGGGTCATTTTATTTATTTATTTATTTAGTCTAAATTACAATATTTCAGGGAACGGTTTGCAGAGTCAAGCTATGTGCACTAAAGCATCCAGCTCAGCCTTGCCTGTGATGCAGTTGGGGAATCCTTACCTTTTTCTCAGTCATTTTAAATTGATCTTATTTCTGATGGGAGCAGACTGCCTGTGAGAGAGTGTTTCTCCAGGCAGGAAGGCAGTGTGTCTGGACCTGTGGTCTCTGGGGGTACCAGACGTACCTCTGTGATGTGAACGGCTGTGCACTGAGTGCGCTGAGTCCTCAGTTCGCCTGCTTCCCCCTGACCAGTAGTGTTCAGGGAGAGGTCCCACCCCTGTTCCCAACACCTCAACCCTCAGGGCTCCAAAAGTTTTCACTTTGAAGGTCATTTAATCAAAAGAGAGAGCGTTCTCCTACAGTGGATCCTGCCTCTTCAGGTCTCTTTCTTTCCCTGTGCTGCCATGCATTCATGATATTCCTTCCTCTGGACTACCAAGGAAGACCTCAGGGACCTCTAGATAGTTGCAGTGGGGATTTGATTATTTAGTGAACTGTGCTGATGAAGTACTGGCGCTTGTTCACCTGAGATCCCGTGGCATGCCACTACGAACATATCTCTTAATAATTTACAAAATCCAAATGCATACAGATAGTAATGCTATTGGCTTCCCAGCTGCTTCCAGGCACTTGGCACTAATGTCAAGTGAGAGTGGGAAAGGAAGGAGATCTGTAAATGGGAGTAGTACTGAACTGCGGGAGGTGTGTCTCAAGGATTTTCCTTTGGGAAGACAAACCCAGCATCACCTGGGGCTCGTGTTTTGCTGTGGTAGTCCATCCTCTCTGGTGAGGAGGTCTGTAAAGAAGGGCTGTCCTTCCTTTTTTTGGTGTTTGTCCCTTTTCTAGGATGTGTTAAGAGCATCCTGGGACCACTGACCAGTGCTGAATGGCAAAGCACTGGGAGGAAATTGGATATGCATGGTTCCATCAGGTGTCTTTCCTCTTACCAAACATCTGTACTGAGCAGCTTGTTCTGAAGTTTACCATGTTTGCAAATAACGTTAGCAGGGAAGAGTCTGTGCTATCTTGGCCCTGCACTGGATAAACTGATGCTGCTCTGTGGGCATGAAAGTGCTGCAATGGACAGTAAGACAGTGCTGGTGGGGTAGTCCTTTGCTCTCTTTTGCAGTGGTAAGTATGCATCTTGGCTGCTATAGGATGCTCTATGGAGTTGGGATAGGATTTGCATTTCCTGGTACCCACTCTGTTGCCTTGGGAGGTCTTTGCTGACCCAGCAGAGCATTGCTACTGTTATGGTGCCCCCTCTTAAGCCAAACAATAGCAAGACAAAGGATGCTTGGAAATGCAGAATGTGCCAGGATTGGGAAACCTGCCTGGTGATCCCTGACCCTTCCAGGCAGCGCTCCCAACTGACTGGAAGTCAACAGTGAACTGAGCCTTGTAACTCCTGCAAGCTAGAATTGCCTTTGTGCATTGTACAACAGGGGAATGTGGTGACAGGGAGGCAAGAGGCCTCAGATCTGGTGGTGCAGAGCTATGAATAGAGCTACAGAGTGCCCCACCATCGCCCCAGGCCTATGCAGCTCTCCTTCCTTGCTCCCACAGCCGAGCTGGGTGCAAGTTCGACCTTGACGTTGGTAGGCAATGGTAGCAAAAGTAGGGGAAAGGGATGCTTGGGAGGCCAAGAGAGATTGAATAGTAATGGACAGCAAACTATGAGCTCACAGCATGATGTGTCAGGAGCGATGGCCAATGCGACTTTTGGGGGTTCTGGGTGCAACAGCCTCCCAGCATTGAGGCAAGGAATGCCCTCGTGCAACCCTGGGGACAGGAAGATGATGCCACAGGCTGGCTTAGAAGTACCTGAAAAGCAGGTGCAGTCTTGCGGGCTGAGAAGTCCTGGTTTGGGACCAAGCATTGCACCTGTGGGTGTTGGCTTTGTAGCAGGAAACAGAAAACAGATGGAATATGGGGAACTGGCAGCAAACATTGTTTCCCACAGAGGAAGGGGGGACAGCCTCATAGTCTGGAACATCTGCAGCTGTCCTGGAGAGGGTATGAGACCCATGTGAGATGAGAAGTACTTTCCTCCCTGGTGGAACTGGCTGCCTGCATGTTGTGTGAGCTCATCAGGTTCACGTGACATCTATTTTGTGGCTTAAGCCTGTGTGCCTCACCTGTCCTCTCTGCAGGGTCCGAGTGAGCCAGGATGGACAATTCCTTCACTACATCTTTCCGTACCAGTTCCTGGACTCTCCAGAATGGGAGTCGCTGCGACCTTCTGAGGAAGGAACTTTCCAGGTAACCCTGTGCAGCCTCACAGCAGCCCAGCTTTGCTCCTTGCTGCTTCATTGCATGTCTGAGAAGGGGATGGAGAGGGCTCATTATGCCATTCAGAGCTAACTGGGAATACTTTCTTCCCCTTCCTCATGGTTTAGTAAGCACAGGATGGTGTGATCAGCTGTGTTATCTTTTTTTCTACCTTCCTGGAAGACCTCAGTGTGTGCTCCTACTATCAGCTGATAGCAGGGAGGGTGGACCGTGGTGCTCCTTCCAGTTTAGCAGGGAGATGAGGTATCACATTGCTGGCTCTGTCCCACTACAGCATTCCCTAGTACCTGTATTGACACATTTTCCCTTCACGCTGCTAGCAAGGCGCATCGTTCCAGGATCAGGATGGCAGCCATAGCAATATGCGGCAGTGATGTAAATCCATAAATATCCTGTTCTTCACAGAAGTTTCTGATGGTGATGTGTTTGGGGTAGAGAAGCAGAAAGGATGATTCACACCCGAATATGGTTCTTTCTGAGCAGAAGAATCCCTTGCTGAGAGGCCAGACAAATTCTTACTTGCAGCAACTGAAAGGATTTTGCTCTTGCTGTCAACACCCCACAGTATTTGTTTGGCTTTCCTTCTGGAGGAGATTACTTAAGCCCACATCTCTCTGCCTTTAACTCATGTCCCAGGACAGGCTGATCCCTGTCAAGATGTCAATCTGGAATATGTCAGTTAGGGCATATGAAGAGGGATTTTGCCAGTTCCTTGGGATCATGGGACAGTCATGAGGGAATGATGATGCTTTCTCATGAGGGCAGCCACGTTCAGACTTGGTTAAACCAGGGCAGCTCTCCGAATCTGCTTTTCTCGGGTCTGAATTTGGCTCATGTACTATGTGAATAGGTCATGGTGGTCGCTTCTGAAACCTATGCCATTGCCAGTGATTATGGTCTTGCAAGAAGAACAGTTGCAGGAGATGGCTGACTTGTGGCTGTGGCACAGGGCTACAGCTCACGAGCAGAAATAAGGATGTCAGGCCAAAATAATGGGGTGTAGAGGGCAACAACAGCGTGGCTGTGCTAGGGGTGGGGGTATGTCATGTTTTGCATGGGGCTTCAATCCAGCAGCAGATAGCTGCAAGCTCCTGGACCGTATTTGTCTAAGAGTTGAGCAGAGAGAACGATGGCTGCCCGGTGCTCCTGGCAGTGAAATGGCTGTCTGGATGGCAAATAACCTGCAAAGACATCTTCAGCATTTTCTCAGCTAATTTCTATGGAACTGAATGTTCCCCGGCCGCTTGAGTGTCTTTATCTGTGGTGCGTGAAGACAGATTGAGAGCAAGCTGGTGCCAAGCTGCAGCAGCCCTGCCAGCCCCACACTCCTGGCCCCTCTCCTGCTCTGCGAGAGAGGGATGGTTGGAGAGGTCAGCTGTGCCTGGCACCAGGATGGGGAGGTAGAGTCCTAGGTGGGGAAAGGCTGCAGCCATGTGCTGGATATGCCTAAACCCCACGTCTGCTTTCTGAGGAACACGAAGTAGCAGATGAGACTGGCATCTAGCAGGTGAGACTTGACAGGTCCTTGTTCCTAGCAGGACATCATTCTTTATGGCCATGCTTAGCCATGGTGAGGTGTTGCTTTTGGCAGCTGTTTGACTCACCAGTTCCTCTTACTTAAGTAGTTAATAAAACTCTGTGGCATGTCTCAACCTTATTCCCAGCGTCGCAATCATTTGGTTAAAAAAGTGCATCTTTGACTCTGGGACTTTGCTGGAGGAGGGCATGGAAGGTTTTCCTTGCCCAAGTTTTCCCCACAGCTCTCTGGATTGAGCAGTTTCAACCCTGAGCCCACTGAAAAATGGCAGAAGTGCAACTCATTCTATAAGGAGAGCCAGTTTCCTTGAGCTTTCTGCTTTGGCTGTGTCTTCTTCCCACAGGCTGCTGGCTCCCAGTGCCTGAAGGAGTTGGGTTTCAGGACTGGCACTTTCCCCCAGAATGCTGAATTATGGGCTCTGCCAATACCAGAGCACTTGTGTCGAGGGGATTCATGACTGAAATCTGTCCTGCTGCTCTGGTTAGGAGGCAGGTTTTCTCATTACATCTCACTTAATCCTTCACAAGAAGCAGAGGCTTTCGATTGCTGTGCCAGAAATTGGTTGGGAAAATGAGATTCTGGTCATTTCGGTTTCCATGTGACCCTTTCTCTCGCTCACCCCAGCCTGGGAAAGTTCTCAGGTTTTATCTCCTATATTTCTTTCATAAGGCAGCTGCTTGCATGGCAGTGGCATTAAATATCAAGCCCAAGGACACACACATGGAGCCAAGCTGTGTTCAGCTTCCCAGTGGCCCTCTGCCATGGTGGCTGGCCAAGGAGACCCCTGGATATAGAGTGAAAGGGAGCCCCCAGGATATTTTGGCTCCAGCACTTGTTCACATGCCAGTGTCTCCATTACACTCGGATGTTCTTCTTTGGCCCAAGGCAGTTTGACCCTTCCTGTGTTTGTTACCTTTTATTATTATTATTAAATTTATATATTGCAATATATGTTCATGTATTACATGATGGTTTTTATTATTAATAGTCTGGTCTTACAGCTAGGAGGAAAAGTGACTCTGTTCACATTGGCAAAACCCAAAGAAAAATGAAATGTTCTCTAAAATCAATCCAGTAAAACCTTGAATGCACTCCCTACCTACACACAAACAAAGTAAAACGCTTTTACTTCCTCCCCCACTGAGCTGTACTGTGCACCCTTCAAGGCCGTTCAGCCCTACAGCGCCTGGCAGAGCTGATGAGACGGGATGTCCCTCCTGCAGAGGGTAACCAGGCAAGCTTTCCAAGTGGCCCTTCCCATACCCAGGGCCTCTTGGAGCAGGAGGTGTGTGACCCAGGGGCAGAACAGGACAGCAGCCTGCTGCAGGGCTACTCACTGGTGACTTGGGCCAGCTGGGCACACAGAAACACCTCCCTCCATAAAGTTTCTGTAGAGGCATAAGGCCACCTGTGCCACATTGCTCATTTCAGCTACATCACTCAGGTATCAACACGGAGGACCATCTGAAAGCGAGAGGGTGAAGTGTAGCTCGTTATGTGGCTAGGTTAAGCAAGGGCATGCTGCTAATTGCATAGGAACACCTGATCTCTGTCTCCTTGGGGAGAAGAAGCAGAGGCAGGTCAAGATTTATCTGATCATTTGGCTTGAGCGATCTGGCCCTCCAGCCCTGCCATCTCCAAGGAGAGCAGACATCAAAGGGGCTGGGGTCCTTCACTGGAGAGAAGCATGCAGCCCCAAGGTGGGTGACCCCTACCTGGGCTGTAGGGCTTAGTCTGCTCCCTCCCTGCCCCACAGGTCACTCTGACAGCTGAGACTGACTGCAGCTTCATCACGTGGCCAAGGAAGAAGCTGTATCTCCTCCTGAGGAAGGACCGCTACATTGCCCGGCTCTTCTCCTCCTATCTGGGCTATGACATCTCAGAGAAGCTCTACTCCCTCAACGAGAAGCTCTTCGCCAAGTTTGGCCTTCGCTTTGACATCCGTTTGCCCAGCCTCTACCACGTCCTCGGCCCCGCCTAGAGTTGGTGACAGACAGTGCCCAGCATGGGGTGTTCAGTGTAGCTGCGAGGACATGAAATGTGGCAGTAGCTGGAAACTTGATTAAACTATATAGGAGTAGTTCAACTAAGTACAATATATGCCATCCTTGTCCCTTTGCAATTCACCATTAGCTTGTCCGGAGCAGGCTTTAGACCTCTCCTGACAGTTGTAAATTGAATGTGACTTGAAACGCTAAGTGGATGTTCTGGAGCTACAGGGTTTATTAGCGTGTAAGTAACAGTTTCGCAGACTAGTGTCAGTGATGCAGTATATAATAAAATGGACATGTCTGATTATGCCCTCTCTGACTTTAGGCCATCAAGGTCTCAGTGTCCTCAGCACAGGTGATTGGAGTAGTTTTCAGCTTATGGGATCAGTAGCGAACCTGTGGACTTCCTGAGGATGGGCAAAATAGCCAGTCGTGGAGCTGCTGTGAGATCCATGACTGATAATCTCTCAGTACAGGGCTGCTTTCAAGGACAGAGGAGTTGTTTGCCAAACGTAGTGCAGGCTGCACCTGGATTGCATCATCACATGAGGCTGAATATTAAGTGCTACTGGTTGAAATAATGATAAGTGGGGAAATCAGTGGAGTACCTGTTTACACACTGCCAATTTCAGTGCTGAAGAGTTGATGTGTCTATTTTTCTTCTTCAGAGTCATTTTGTTGTAATGCCTACGTGCCTTCTTCCAGGGAAGAGTTCTAATGTTATTCAAGTGTTTTCTGTGCACTTGCTTACTTGATTCCAAATTGCTTTGGGCCTTGGTATCTCCTTTTTAATACTTGTGTGGCTTTCCCCTTGAATCAGTATTGGCTTTTGAACACTCAACTTGGATGAATCCCAGCATCCCTGGATGGAAGGCGTGTGTTTGGATTGAAGGCAAGCCACGGAAATAAGATTTCTCTTTGGAAAATTAAGAAAGCTTTTTGAACTCTTGCTGGGTGGAAAACTGAAAGTGCCATGAAGATGGTCTGTATGGCCACGGTATTCTCAAGGGAGAAAGGAAGATTTGAGCCTTGATGGTCGAACAGTTTTACAAATCTTCCTTTTAAAATACTGGGCCTGAAAGCACCTAAATTAATCTCTAGCATGTGCTCAGAGGTCTGCCTTTTAAAAGGCTGTATCATTCTCTCTGCCATGTCGTGTTCAGCCCCAGCAGAAAAGTTGTACAGTTTCTAATGAGAGCTTTGTGCTGTTACCGCCGTGGGGTTAAAGCTTCTTGTCTGCCTTCTGCAGGGAAGTCACAACGGGTGTCCTTGCCCAGCGAGTGCCTTTGGGGTTACTGCGACGCCACTGTCCATGTTCTGGAAGATGCCAGAGGAAGCACCTTCTTTGTCTAAATGAGTCGTTAACATTGTGTTCCAGAGTATCTTCTATCTCAGGAATACCTCCCTAACTGAGGAGGGAAATGAATAACTTTTTTTTTTGTCACTTTCTTTGATGTTGCCACAAAAGTTTTCTGGTAGTATGGAAAGGCGGGAGAAACTGCAATGTTGCTTCTCAGAATGCTTCCTCTAATGTAGTTCTACATTGCTATTCATAGCAGTTCAGTTTTGTCTCACAGATCTTATGTAAAATATCTTTCTCGTAAGTGTTTCCAATCTTGCCATCCCAACTCGCCATTATACCAAATGTCAGCCTATCGTGGAAAGAGGGCCCCTTATAATACTGATTTTTGCAGAGGCCTAAAGGTAGGTAAGTTGTTGTTGGGATCATCTAGCAAGTACACGGCAATAGTATGAAAAACAGAACTTGGCTCCCAAGATTTTTACTGTAGTGCTTTGGCTATACGATCATTCTTCCCTTTTTGCAGTGAAGGTCAAGAGAAATGAAGTTCTTCATTTCCTCATACCTCTTGCAGCTGAGCCTTGTTCTGCTTCAGCCAGTAGGATTTATTTCTTCATTTTAATAAGGCACTGCTGGAGAGAAGGTTCCCTGTTTCACTTAACCCTTAACAGAAAGCATCTTTCTGCGTGGATCGTACTCACCCCCTGTGCAAAACTTAAATTTGTCTTGTTTCCTTCTCACCTGGTAACCTGCTGAGTTGGCAGAGCCTTTGCTGTTCTTAGGAGTCTTGCTGCTCTGTGGGCTAATCACTGGGGAGACAGATTGTACTGTCCAAGACCACGATGAATTCTTTAAGGTTGCCATAAAGCGTTGCTTCAGCCTCACCCAGCAGATAGAGCTATTCCAGAGCGCTGTTAGTAGAAGAGCCGATCAGTGTGTCTTTAAGTGAGTGGTGCCAATGGGAATGGCATGTTAGGCAGGGCAGCTGCAAGCTCGGCCTGAAACATGACCACCCTTGAAACCCTATCTCTACTCCACTGACCCATGCAGGCTGACTTCATGCTGTTGACTGACCGTGCGGGTTGTGTCAATGCCTGAAATGTGACTGCTTCCTGGCAGCGGGGCAGATCCTGCCTGTATGACTGGTAACGTGTTACTCGAAGCAGGGGAGAAGTTGCATTTACGCATCTTTTCTGTAGCTGACCACGGAGGACTGAACTTGGCTAGTGTCTCTCATGCTGATGTCCCAGGTTACCCGAGTGGAAAGTGTTTGCTTTCCTCTTTGTGCTAAATGAAGGTCTGGGAGGTGTTTCATATAGCTATAAAAAAAATGAAAATGTAAGATCACGTTTCCCAAGGATGCTTACCAACAAAACCTGTTATCTGTGGGGTGGGATAATCCTCCCTCAAATAGGATTTCCCTGCAAAACACGCTTCCATGTGTTACACTCCCAAATCTTTATGGAGGATAGTCTCCACAACAGATGAAGCTGCGTCCCAACGGTTTATTTACTTTAGCTTTATCCCTTGCAGTCACTGCACCCATGCAGAGCTTTACCTGGTGCCCCTTGATCTAAAATGCCTCATGAGATGGAGCTGCCTGGCATGAGGGGAGGCTGTGCGGCAGCACCGGGAAAACATTTCCCAAGAACCAACCTCTTCTTTTGCTAAGTCCCTGCCATCGCTATGAGCCACAGCGGGAGAAAGGGGTGACCTTTTTCCTTTTTTGTGCTGGGTGAAAGTCACTGTGTTGCAGGAGCGCAGAGGGGTGCGGAGGCCCGCGTGTGGCTGGAGCTTGCTGCGATAAGCTGGTTGTTTTCCCCTCTCTTTCCCCTTCACGGCGCTGTGCTGGGCTTATCTGGGTGCCTGAGTTATGTTAAGTAGCGAGTGCGTGCCTGCGCTCTGTTCTCCTCACTGCTTTTGCTCCTTGGATTTCAATTCCAAACATGGTTATCCATTTGGGGTCTCTCTCCTTTCCGCTGCCAAGTGATACACATTCCACATTCAACACCAGCTCCCTCCGCTGTTCTCTGGCAGTCGCTATTTCCAGTGCTGGAGGACTGGTGAGAGAGGCAGTGCAAGGAGATCTCGGTCCCGTCTGTGAGTTTTCCAGCTAATGGCCTCTACTCTTTCTTTGACTGAATTCTTTTGGCCTCATATTTGCCAGCTCCCTTTCTTGCTGCTGCGGCTAAGGAGGCAGCCAGCCACCAGTTTGTGAGCCGCGAAGAGGAGAAACGAACCCTTTGGAGATTTTTTCAGGCACAAAAGTGTTTGGTGGCGCTTTAACATGTTGCTCTGAAGCGCACTGCTGTGGGACTGACCCGGCGCTCAAGAGGAGGAACAACCACCCAGCAGCTCTGGTTTCAGACCTCTGCGGCACCCTTTGTTTATGACAATTCATTCTGAGCACAGGACGGCCGGGGAGGGTGGGGAGTGGGGAAGGATGAGCGCAAACAGCCTTTCGTGGGACCAGGCTATTCTCCAGGCCCCGGTGTGCGATGCCTGGAAGGAGATCATGGAGGGAGCAGCCTACCACCTGGCCAGCTGCATCGTCCTCCTGGGTTACATGGGGGGAAGTGGCATCTTCGGGTCCCTCTATATCTTTGGCTTCCTGGCCCCAGGCTACTTCTGCTATGCTCTGTGGGGCTGGCTGAGTGCCTGCGGGCTTGATATCTTCGTCTGGAACATGCTGCTCGTCCTCATCTGCTTGCTTCAGCTGGCTCACCTGGCATACCGGCTGCGCAGAGACACCATCCCAGAAGAGTTTGACCTCCTCTACAAGACCATGTACCTGCCCTTGCAGGTGCCCCTGGAAGTCTACAAAGAAATCGTGAAGTGCTGTGAAGAGCAAGTCCAGTCACTAGTCAGAGACCAGAATTACGCGGTGGAGGGCAAGACGCCCATCGACCGTCTCTCTTTGCTGCTGTCTGGCAGGTAAAGCGTCTCCTGTTTCTGAACAAAGTGTGACAGCAAAGCACTTTGGCTTGTTGTTGTGTTTTCACCCTCTGTGGAAACTGGGGTGAGGATTGTTTCCTTCCTCTGAAAGGGCTTTGAAATATGCATGTTTGTTGGGGAGGGGGGTAATTTGTTTTGGGGGGGTCATTTTATTTATTTATTTATTTAGTCTAAATTACAATATTTCAGGGAACGGTTTGCAGAGTCAAGCTATGTGCACTAAAGCATCCAGCTCAGCCTTGCCTGTGATGCAGTTGGGGAATCCTTACCTTTTTCTCAGTCATTTTAAATTGATCTTATTTCTGATGGGAGCAGACTGCCTGTGAGAGAGTGTTTCTCCAGGCAGGAAGGCAGTGTGTCTGGACCTGTGGTCTCTGGGGGTACCAGACGTACCTCTGTGATGTGAACGGCTGTGCACTGAGTGCGCTGAGTCCTCAGTTCGCCTGCTTCCCCCTGACCAGTAGTGTTCAGGGAGAGGTCCCACCCCTGTTCCCAACACCTCAACCCTCAGGGCTCCAAAAGTTTTCACTTTGAAGGTCATTTAATCAAAAGAGAGAGCGTTCTCCTACAGTGGATCCTGCCTCTTCAGGTCTCTTTCTTTCCCTGTGCTGCCATGCATTCATGATATTCCTTCCTCTGGACCACCAAGGAAGACCTCAGGGACCTCTAGATAGTTGCAGTGGGGATTTGATTATTTAGTGAACTGTGCTGATGAAGTACTGGCGCTTGTTCACC